TTTTTCGATTATTTTCGATTATTTTCGATTATTTTCGATTATTTTTGATTATTTTCGATTATTTTCGATTATTTTCGATTATTTTCGATTATTTTCGATTATTTTCGATTATTTTCGATTATTTTCGATTATTTTCGATTATTTTCGATTATTTTCGATTATTTTCGATTATTTTCGATTATTTTCGATTATTTTCGATTATTTTCGATTATTTTCGATTATTTTCGATTATTTTTAATTATTTTCGATTATTTTCGATTAATAGTTTTTTTTAGATTATTCGATTTTTTCAATTAATCGATTATTTTTGATTAATCATTCTTTTTTCCAATAATCGATTATTTTGATGAATCGAATATTTATTTATGACTAAAGTACAGCAAGTTAGGTAATAGTTGTAATGTTTGAAAACAGTATAATATTGTAATCGATTAATCAAAATCGAAAATATCTCTAAAAATATCCGATTAATCTAAAATAACCGTTTTTTGTATTTTGTTCGGGGTTTGAATTTACTTTATATAATTGCTTTTACTTATAGTGTGGTGTAGTGTAAATAAAGGTTTATACAGTTCTACCGGGCGAAATTTGAACAAAACCCATTATTTTCATTTTGGCTTTGCAATGCCCAGGTTGGGTATAGTGGCTTTTATATAGTCACGTAATTTAATCAAGAATTGTTTCACTAAAAGAGCAAATGTTTGTGCGAAGTATAAAAAGCATATTTCAGGATTCACTGGCAGAAAATGTTTGCTTTTTTAGATTGACAAGTTCTTCGAAAATGTCACGAGTTTCAGATGAAGTAAAAACGGTAGTTTCTTCGCTTGTACTATTTATAGTAATGGATCATCTAAGTGATGGTATCAAGCAACCTTTTCATGACTCAGGAATCTTAACAAGTATTAGAAATTAAAAATTTAAAAAACCGACTTTAAAAACGTGCAGATGCTATCACCACATCTTAACCAAATTTATATGGGACCACCCCTGAGGTACCCCTTTACTAACAAAAAAAGAATCATAAAAATCGGACAAGATGGTAAAACATTATCGCTAAACATACATAAAAATGAAGAGTGAGGATTTTCTCATGGACTCAATTATTAGATTTTAACTAAATTTATATGGGACCACTCCTAAAGTATCCCCTTTCTAATAAAAAAAGAATCATTAAAATCGGACACCGTGTTAAAGAATAATCGCTGAACATACATAAAAAAAAATATCGCGACGAATTGAGAACCTCCTCCTTTTTTGAAGTCTGTTAAAAAATATTCGGAATTTAATTGTATTAAAACGGACGATGGCAAAAAAGTTTTGAGGGATATTGGCTCTTGTACAAAGTTTTACATGCTGCTAATAGTAAAACATTGTCAATTACATCAAACTCAAATCTACGACTGAAATATG